TCGTGCCCCATGAGAAAGCTGGCAAGAGAGCGAGCATTCAGACCAAGGGTGTCGATCATCGAGTTAATGTCGCGATACACTGCCTCCACCTGGGCCGGGATGGTCTCCTTGGCTGACGGCACAACGTTTGAGTGGGCGATGAAGTCATCAAGCTTTAGTGTGGGCTCGATCTTGGAAGCAAGAATCTTCTGAATCTCATCATCCTCTTCGTCCTCCAGCGCCCTGGTCTCTTCGGCCTGCCGCCTTTGGCGCGCAAGTCTTTGTTGAGCAATGAAGTGATCATCGTTGGATTTGTTCCCGACAATGGATGACCCCATCTGCGAAGGCTGCTTTTTCTGGGCTGCAAGAATCTGAGATGCCATGCCCGGGGCACTAACCGAACGAGCAGACTCCTGGCGCATGATGCGGCCTGGCACAGCACCACGGACTGGGCTGGGAGAGCGAGGGCTGGTTTGGGACGGTCGGGGGAACATGGGAGCATTGCGGCTCAGGTCACCAAACAACGATGCCCGCGGTCTCTCTTCCTCCGTCCGTGGAACGGAGTAGGTGCTGCTACTAACACCACCGAACGAGCTTTGCGGGGTCATGCCCGCCGTAGGGGTCATCGCCGTCATGGATGGGCTTTGATCCTTGGAGACAATGACGCCGCTGCCCTCAGACTCGTCATCGTCGTCCTCATCCTCAAGATCGGTGTCATGCTCACTATCAGGCACAGTCGGAATGGAGGGGAAGACAGGCTCCTTGGGCTTAGTGAGGAAGTCTGGCGGCAACGGAGCATCGTCTACTGCAGGTGTCGTGTTCTGAGGGGTAGACGACCACGTTGCCGACGACAAAGATTGCTTGGGCATCTTGAGGAAGTCCGGAGCCGCAGCAGGTGCAGTAGATTTCGGCCGTTCAAGCTCCTCGGGCGAGGACTGGTCGTCTGCTGGCAAATGAAGCGCCGCCGAAGGCGTGGCAGACACTGCGGTCTTGCCAGGCTTGGGCGTGAGGAAGTCGGGTGGGAGAGGAGCTTCGTCGGCCGGAGTAGTGCTTCCCTGTGGCTTTGAAGGCTTGAGGAAATCAGGCGGTAGCGGAGCAGCGCTGGCTGCCTTCGTTGACGTTGCCTTTGGCGTAGTAAGGAAATCGGGAGGCAGAGGCGCATTGTCCACTTGAGGTGAAGCCTTACTTCCACTGTCTGAAGGAACATTTCCGGTGCCCGAAGAAGACGAGGAATCACCAAGAGGATATGAGTTTTTGCTAGTCGTATCAGGGGGAAGAGGAGTGCTGGACTCGGTCTTGACCTCTGGTGTCTTCTCTGCCGGCTTCGCAGAACCAAACAAACCTCCAGTCGCTGGCTGAGAAGGGAATCCAAACAAGCCGCTTTTGGGGGCTGATGTTGAAGTCGGTGGGAAACCAAATTTGGAAGGCGCTGGAGTCTCTTTCGGCGTTGTGGATTGGCCAAGGCTGAAGACCGATTTGGGCTTCGGTGTTTCTTCGTTCGATTCTGTGGTCGTTTCCTTAGGAGGAGTCTTCGTCACGGCGCTTCCCAGTGCAGAGCCGAAGTTGCTGCCAAACAGAGAGGATCCGCCAGGGGTAGAAGGCTTCTCATCATCATCCTTGGCAGAGGGATCTGCCTCGAAGGTGGTTCCCAACTTGAAAGGCTGGCTGAAGGGATTGCTAGTCGCTGGGCCAGTCGAGCTCGGGGGAGGGAACGCGGTATCCTTAGAAGCCGTGCCCAGTTGACCCCCAGAGCCGAATGGACTTGACGAAGTCTTGCTGGAGAAAACACTACCACCCTCGTTGCCCTTATTTGCAAGGGAACCAAAGCCACCAGAGCTAGCAAAGCTAGAGAATCCCCCAGACGCAGGTGCAGGTTTGGCTGCTGATGCACCGCCGAACACACTCTTATTCTCGGATGTTCCGAAGCTACTAGGCTGGCCGAACGCCGGTGACGCAGACGTGTTCGCACCAGATGCTCCGCCTGACGCCCATGGAGAGGACTTCTGTCCAAGCGACGACGACTGACCAAAACCGACTGATGAAGGCTGGCCAAACGCCGGACCTGATGAGGAAGCAGCTGGTGTCCCAAAGGCGCTGCCACTGCCGAACGCTGACTTGGGTGCAGCCGATGGCGTAGCAGAGGGGGTCCCGAAGGCGCTTCCGCTACCAAACGTCGACTTGGGTGCATCCGATGAAGCAGCGGAAGGGGCCCCAAAGGTACTACCACTGCCAAACGCTGATTTGTTTGCAGCTGGAGTTGTGGCGGAAGGGCTTCCGAAAGAGCCGCCAGTGCCGAACGCTGATTTTGTTGCGGAGGCCTGAGCAAAAGGAGAGCCAGATGTAGCTGAGCTGCCCCCAAAGGGGCTACCGCTGCCAAACGTAGATCCAGAGGCTGCGGGAGCGGCGGGAGCGGCGGAAGACGTCGTCGCAGCGCCCCATGGTGAAGCCTTAGATCCCAGGGCTGACGAGCCACCAAATGTAGGGATCTTGGATCCACTGGAACCGAACGGTGAGGCCTTTTGGCCTGAGCCCAAGGCGGATGCCGAACCGAAGGCCGGGGTGCTCGAAGGAGCGCCAAATGCTGATGTGTTCGAAGCTGGGGCCGTCACCGGTGCTGCTGCTGGTGTCGAGCTGGATGCGCCCGCAGGGGGCGCGGAAGTATCAACCGCGGCCATGCCAGGGTATGTCGTGCCCTGCCTGATGGAGTCTTCGTAGATAATCCACCATGAACTCAGTACACCCTCATTGTTCAGCACCCACAAACCCGGCACTGGGCCGGGAGAATCTTCAATCTCTTCATCGGCGGGCAAGGGCTTGTATACCTTGTCCTTGGCTGAGAGATCAAGGGCAACACCGATGGGGATGGTGTTTTCATAGCTGTCATTCATGGGCAGAGAGGCACGTTTCGAGTCATCGGCCAGTTCTGTTGTGGTAAAGACGCCGGCGGTGTCGACTGGATGATCAGAAGTCAGGGGTGACTTCGCCCTACTGAGGAGGCCGATGTCTGGGGAGACGGTCGATGCCACGATGAGGAGATCTGAAAGGTTGGGAGGGAATTCCTTGAGCCTCAATATTGAGTGATGAGGCGGCTTTTCGGCGCCAAACGGGTCGACGGGGTCGTTCAGCTTCTGGAAAGTGAAATCTGATGGCAGCTTCCTTGTAATGAGATGGTATACTGAATTTGGCGGGGACTCCGAAGTTGATGTGTGGATGGCGAGGAAAAGATGATTTTCCAGCCAAGTCAGAGACGATACTGTAGTCAATTAGTTCAGCATGGTTGCGCGTTCCGTCAGCTCGAGAACCTACCGTGAGCATTCGACACGTTTGATGGCCGCGGGATCTCGCCCTTGGCCTCACCCTCAGGGGTCATTTGGAAAATGGTCCCGTCCGCCAAGCCCGCCACCAGCTGCTTTCCTTTTGTGCTCCAGCTTATGCAGCTAACCTGTGCTTTCAGAGCATTGCTGACTGACCTCTCCTTCAGGTTCGCCATGTGCAGGTTGCCGTTATTCGTCACAATGGCGCACAGTTCCGCCTTCTCGATCGTGGGGTTCGGGAAGAGCGCCCTCAAAGTTTCGCCGTTCGTCGCAAGCTCGAACGCAGCTTTCGTGGCACCCTGGAGCAGGCTTTCCACTTCGTATACCGCGAGACCGCCTCCGCTCTCGGCGGAGAGGATCAGGTAGTTCTCGTCGGCGCTGAAGGCGAGCTGCGACACCCTCATAGGCATGGGCAGCTTGCCCTGCGGCTGGAACGCGCGGACATCGGAATCGCCTTCCTTTTCACCCTCAAAGCCCTTGCGCACGGAGTCGGTCGAGGTGATGGTGATACCGTCGGGTCCGGCGGCGGCGACGAGGCCTCGGCGGGAGGCGATGCTGATGAGCGAGGCGGTATCGGCGGGTGGCGGGGACCAGGCGGATGTGAGTCGGAGCTTCGCGTCGCCTGCAATCGACTTGAAACCAAGCGCCTGAATAGATTTACATGGTGAGCCTCGAACTTTCAAAAGACAGCGGCATCGACGGTGTCGGTGACCAGATCTCACCTCGGTCTGGATCACCTCCAGCTCGGGGCCTTGAGTCAGTCCTCCTCCTCCTCCGGCCGTGGCATTTCCTTGGTTCGCGAAGCTGAAAGCCATGACTGTTGCGACGTGACCGGCTTGTGGAGGGAGGACGTGTAAGTCAGGGTGGTCCTTCGCATTCGCTGGAGGGGTCGCGTTTGTTGATAAGAGTTTTCCACTTGTGTTTCTTTTCTTTTTCGTCTTCTTGTTGCCCCTCTTCTATATCTTGCTGTTGTTAGGGTGCTTCGCGCTGCACTCAGCTTGGGAGGTGTTGTTGCTTGAGCCACGAGGTTTGGCTATCTTGCTGCTGTCGCAACCGGCAGCTATGGGATAAAGAGAAGGAAAATAGCTGGATGAGGCCTGGCTAATCGCCTCAAATCTGGAAGGAAATAAGTATTATGACGTCCCACACGTGGAAACGCGATGCAATTGGGTGCAAAGCAGAGAGACAGGCGCCAGTCGAGATGCGTAAAAGAATCTTGCACCTTTTGCTCGTCTTTTGGCCTGGGACTTTTTTTGAGGAATGGCTACCTAAAAATTCCCAGTTCTTTGCTTGGCCCATCCCCCCGTTCCCCGGCCGGTCGCCTGCCAGTCCCTCCAAATGTTCGAGTCACGTGCGGTGAGCTTCGGTTTAGCTCAGATCTGGGGCTCTCTCTATCCAATCACTGCTGCCTCTGGCAAGCTCCGTCGAATGTCAGGGTGCCTTGCAGGCGTGCAGGAGCTCCCAGGCCCCCCCAAACAGCGGCAACGACCATCGAAGGCAGCTTTTAGCCTCGTCATCCAGCTCTACCTTACCGTTTACCGCGTCCACCTTCAACCTCACTCGATCCCCACCTCATCTCTCGACGACTTCTCCTCGAACCCAACTTCGACTGCCACGACTGACGACCACAAACTACTTGAACGAATTCGACGGTTTCTTACATACATAGGATAGCGACCGGGGTTTCTAGATAAGGCAGCAGCAACGATGCCCGGCTTCGACTTCTCAAACTACAACCGCAATGCGGCCCTCCACGCCCGAGGTGTCCCCCTCCCCAAGGCGACGAGCACAGGTACCACCATCGTAGGATGCATATTCGACGGCGGTGTTGTGGTCAGTACCCTCCATTCGATTCACGTCTTTGAGCAACGATGGCAACCTTTGGGATTCGCCTGGTTCTGCCCCCCCCCCCCCCTTCTCCCACCCCGATAGCATCCCTCGCCTTCAACCGCAGCAGCTAACAGAGCGAGGTGCACTCTAGATTGCCGCCGATACAAGAGCAACTTCCGGTCCCATCGTCGCCGACAAGAACTGCGAAAAGCTGCACTACATCGCTCCCCAGATTTGGTGTGCAGGAGCCGGTACCGCCGCCGACACCGAGTTCACCACGGCAATCATATCCTCCAACCTCGAGCTCCACGCCCTCTCCACGGGCCGCAAGCCCCGCGTCGTCACCTGCATGACCATGCTCAAGCAGAACCTCTTCCAGTACCAGGGCCACATTGGTGCCTACCTCGTCGTCGCCGGCGTCGACCCCACGGGAACCCACCTCTTCACCGTCCACGCCCACGGTTCCACCGACAAGCTCCCCTACGTCACCATGGGCTCCGGCTCCCTGGCCGCCATGTCCGTCTTCGAGACCCAGTGGAAGCCGTCCCTGACCCAGGACGAGGCCGTCAAGCTCGCCAGCGACGCCATCCAGGCCGGTATCTTTAACGATCTCGGCTCCGGAAGCAACGTCGACGTCGCCATCATTACAAAGGACAAGACCACCCTTAAGCGCGGCTTCGTCAAGCCCAACGAGCGTAGCGCTAAGCTCAAGAGCTACGCCTTCCAAAAGGGCACCACGGCCGTGCTCAACGAGAAGATTATCAAGAAGAACGAGATTGGCCGCTACGTGAGCGTAACGGAGGTGCCGGCCGGTGAAGCGATGGAGGTTGATACCTAGATGCATGATGTTTACGAGGCAACTGGAGGTGGAGGGGTTCTTAAGACGTGCTAAATGAAGTACTCCCATATCGGGAAGATTCTGTACCAATACAATGATGGCAATAGACGAGACTGACGCAAACCGTTTCCCCCCAAAGTGCCAACTTCCCATCACTATTTTGACATGGAACAGCATCGATAATTTACTTAACAGGGGCTTCGATAGCCGCTGACTGTGGATGCTTCCACAAGACTTTGGTCAACATCCATTCCTCTTGACATAGTACGGCCAATCGACCCCTTGCTAGCAGTTCGTGCCAACTCAAAGTGGTTGCTCAACAGTTTGATTTCGAAAAATTTGATCCATTGGCTACACTACCGCAACTGAGTAGGCAGACGCATTTTGTACGACAAAAGGAATCCCCATGAAGTACCCTATGAAGAGAGCCATTGCTTCCCTCCCAGAATAAAAAAGACAAAAGTGGTATATACATAGGAATCAAGGGTATGTTCGATCAAGGTCTGGACACGCAGAAAGGACCCATCACTTTTTTGTCCCTATGTCACAAACCCAGAGCCTCTCCAGGACCCAAATCCCTCGCACACATTGTTAGAACAAAGTAGGGAGAGGCGTCCTTATTTCCCCCCCCCCCTCCCTTAGGTCACACTTTTTGAGACCTCGTTGAATACAGAAAATGGCACAATTCCTAGCCTCTGAGTTTTTAAATGCCCAGTAAAAACAGCTGCACTCCGCAGAGCCAGTCTTCCGAAACTCCGAAGATGCGGGGTATGAAGGTGATGTGTTGATGCAAGTGGTCATGATCCATGAAATGCCGCTAGACGCTCCGCGCAAAAAGAACTTCAAAAAGACTCATCGCTAGCCAGTCTTAATGCCGAACATGGTGCGCGTCCTCGACTTGCTGCGGGCATTCTTGGCAGGCTTGTCTTCGTCATTGTACTTTGACTTGTGAATCCTGTGATGGCGCTTGTCAATACCAATATTCCGTTCCCTTGGAGGAATATATGTAAAACATACCAGCTGTTGCCGACCATGTTCATCCCTTTGGCCTCAGCTTGTCTATAAAAGCCAGCGGCCTTCTTAAGGTTCTTCTTGCAGCCAACTCCTTGAGCGTAGCAAAAGCCTGCTTCGGCCAGTGCATCTACATCGCCCCAAGCTGTTCACACCATTAGCTTCATGAATCCGTCAAGAACACGCAATCTCAACTTACATCCAGCGATCTCAAAGCATCTCAGGGCAAGAGCCTTGTCCTGCTCGATGCCCCATCCATTCATATGGCTCACACCCAACTCATAGATGCTGAGTGCGAACTGTGCCTTACGAGTTCTTCTCTCCATGGCATCCACAAACTTTCCTTCCTTGACATGGTCCTCGTCATCAGCAATTTCAAGGCTGGCACATTCAGCTGCTTTACGCAGCCACTCAACACCCTCCCGCTGGTTGGGCCGCATACCCCAGCCGTGTCTGCATGCCAGCGCATACAGAAGCATACCTGTCGGATTGCCTCCCTTCGCTGCATGGCGAAGATGGTAGGTGGATTCCTTCACTGAGCCATTCTCATGGCATTCAATACCCTTGGCTAGGTGATCCTCCGGAGACATGTCTGAAGCTGTCGGGGCACCTGATGCCAATGAGCGAGCCGCCTTGACAGTGCTGTTAGAATCACTGGTGGTAGTTGACATGGCAGTCTGACCACGAGCAGCAGTATCGTGGGCCTGAGAAACAAGGGCACGACCCCGAGAATCCTCCTCTGAAGCCCGGCTCTCGGTCGATGGACGGCTGGGATTAGGGGATGGCTGCGGGGCCGGGCCACCGCGATCGAGACTGCGCTTTCCTTGCTCGAAAGAAGGCTTGCCCAAGCTGAGGTTATCGGGCTCTGCTGAGCTAGATGGCCGAGTTGGCGGAGATGGGGGTGCTCCGCGTTGGATAGCTTGCACGTTGCTTGGAGCAGTCACGGGCTGCTCCCATTGAAAGGAAGCTTGCGGGTGAGGGTCGAGAGGAACAGATCGCTGCACGATCTTGCCTCGGGGAAGTGAGTACTTGGAATAAATGTACGAAGGAGCGGCCTTGCCATCGTCATGCACATGGTCGGGGAAGCCCTCGCTGTTCATGCTAACAGGAGTATTGGCAGAGTCGTCATTCGCAAACATGAATGACGGTTGGCTGTCGGATGAGGCCTGACGCGTTGGGGTCTCCAAACCAGGTGTGCCGGCTCGGCTCATGGGCCTCGAAAAGTTGAAGGATGGTCGCGGTAATGGCATGGAGGCGTCGGAGCACACGGAAGGTGAGCGTTGGAAAGGACCTGGGTTCAGGTTGGGTGACGCATTTGACGCCGCATAAGCGCTGCAACTTGAAAGTTTGCGCGGGGGCAACGATTGAACAGAGTTGCTCATGTCGTCGCTAGTATTTTCGAGGGGAGAAGACATTGAGGTCGCCGATCGTGCTGTGAAGCTCGGTCGCGGAGGAGCCAAGCCAGGTCCATCAAACGAGTGTCCTTTTGACTTGCCGGGCGATCCATTTAATGAATTTTCGCGTGACCGTGCTGGCGAGAGCAGAGGTAGTGAATGATCTTTTCGTGGAGGCGAGGTTTGCAAGTGAGAGTCGTTCGTGGGGTGTTCCATTGGCGTAGGGGACTGCTCTCTTCTTGCGCCAAAGTACGTCTCATCCTGGTGTTCCTCCATCGAATCCAATACTCGTCCACGCATCATGTCGGGCAGGGGCGTTGGGAGAGGCTCGTTCTCGTCGGGAGTAGGCGGAATGCGGCTCATTCGAGGGTGCACCGAGACCGGTCGATCTTTCTCAGACGGGAAGGCGTCCTCTACCTCGGTTCTAAGTCCCAATCCTGGGTTTTGAAGCTCAGGAAGTGGCATCTCGTCGGATCCTGAATCATTAGACATAGAGCGAAAGTAGTCTGATCGGCCCTGTACGACCAAAGGACTTTCAGTCGTCAAAGGTGGTAGTCTGCTCATGCGCCTTCCTTCGCCGCTCGCGGCAGCTTGGAGCTGTCTCGCCAACAGGCGACTCTGAAGAGCGAAGGCATCGAGAGGTGACAATTCCGGGGGTGCCTCGCCTGCGACGTGGAGTCTAGGGGATCGCAAAGGTCTCGAAACGTTGGACATGCTCGAGGGCGCCCGAAGGTCGATGAAGTTTGGGCGTTGCGGCGACATGGTCGGTCGATTTCGAATCGCGTGTTACTTTAAGTTCCCATGCAATGCGATGCAGCTGTTTTGCAGGTCTCGTATGCGTTGGGGAAATCGACGACAGACAGAATGAACGGTCGGGCGAGCCTAAGAAGTGGTCGGTGGTTGGAATCCTGGCGGTGCAGGTCGTGTCTTAGCCGAAGGATCGGTTATGGCGTCAGTCTAGAATGGAGGATGCCACATAGAGGTCGAATAACAGGTCGATGGCCGGCTGATGGTGTGGCTGCCGAGAATGCTACCAACCGCGCATGAGAACAATGAGGTCAGGATTGGTTAGACGCTCGAAAACGGGACAAAGTTTCGATGCGGGTCGAAGATGGGCGAAAGAAGAAGCAGAAATGGAATCTGAGGTCGAATATTTTGGAAACGGATGTCGTCGTGGGGGCCTTTCCTTTCAGTTGGTGTTGCAGATGGATAAACAGGTTCGAGGATCGGTAGAGTATTCTTTCTTAGAATCCAAGCAGTACGCACTAAGGTAGCGGGAGGCGGGCGTCCGTTTTAGGCACTGCGGTCTGGCGGATAACAAAGAAGGCGCAGCAGCCAAGTGGGAAGGTCGAAAGACGAAAAGAGTGTTGGAAGAAAAAGAAGAGGATTCGAGGGTATCGAGAGACAACCTGAGGTAACCTGAGGTTTATTCAAACTGGCCGGCCGATGCTTGGTGCTCAGTAAGGTAAGTAGCAAGAGGTCTCAGGCCGAGAGCAGCTGGAAACGGTTCCTTTCGACGCCTGTGCTAAGGATTGGTCCCGATCTGTCGCGAGGAACAGATGATGGAACACGGACACGAGGAGGGGAGGGGGAAGCCTAGGAGGGAAGGGGGGGAAAAAGAGAAAAGGCCGAGAGGAAGCGAGACGAGAAGCGGGAAAGAAAGAATGGAAGCGATCTCTGTTTCCCCCCAGAATCGGATACGAGGGGGAGGTGATGAGCAGGTGCCAAAACGGCCGGGGGAGGCAAGCGAAAGAGGATGAACGAGGAGACGAAAGAGGGAAAGAAGCAATGCACTTGAGTCGCCCCGGGCTGGAACTGGTTGTGGTGCAATAGTGCAATGGTGCAGCTGGATTGAATTGGATTGGATTGAATTCCCAGAGGGGGGCACTTGGGCACTTTGGGGCCCTAGGGAGGGGAGAGGACTCAGAGGTGACTTTCCACTTGTCAACTGGGACAGGGTGTTATTGGGCCAATCGTGGGGACGCAAGGAACAGACTGAGTTGAGTCTAGCACCTAACGCGACGCTAATACAGGGACATCAGTGCTCCGTAAGGTACCGTAAAGATGGAAAGCACCTTCCATTCGACACCTCACGTTCCCATACTCAAGACGGTAGGAACGCTCCTGAATGGGAATCCTGAGGTGGGTGCCTCTCACTTGGGAGCACGGGCATCGAGACCGGTAGAGGGTAGGGATACGTACCGCGGTACGTTCAAGGGATGAGTTAGCACGACCACATGTATCCGCAAGCCACGACGGCGCCAGGCCCCCCCATGCGAGGCACGCCGCACGGAAGCAGGGGCAACAACAGGGGATGGCATCACAGGCGGACGCCCACGAAACACAGCAGGAACAACCGGTGAAAGTTGCACGCGCATAAGCAGCCAGAATATGCATTTCTACGCAGCCCAGTGCTTAGGTACATCAAGGTATGTAGGTATTCGTACCTATGTAAGGTACAGCAGCAGCAGCATCACTTATTGAAACCCCTTAGTGTCTGCAGTTGTAAATCATGGCTGGCCGTCTGCCGATGGCGTTGTCTGGGGTGCAGGTACACAACAGTCATTGGATGGCATCGCATAGCAACACGATGCACTAACAGCAAGACCCAAATTTCCCCTTTTTTCTTGTCTTGTCGCTCGTCTCTGTCTAATCCCTGCTTGCTGGCCCTGCAAGGTGCAAGGTCTCTACTTCCGCCCGTGACGCCCCTCCTTCAACCTTTCAAGCCCTGTGGCGGCTGGCCCTGCGACCTCTTGCGACCCTGCGCTTCAACTGGAAACGGGGATGTCTCCAGTTCTTCTCTGTCGCTGTCACCTTGTTCATTAATGCCAATGCGTCGTCGTCCGTAGCAAGACCGTCGATGACCACGTTCACGCCGATTGTGTAGGTGGCTTGGACATTGTGACCCGAGGTTCGGTGGCAATCAGCAGTCCGGGACTGTATACTGTACGTGAGTCTACCTTAGGTATGGCTGATATTCGATGCTCAGTCAGGTACGCGCTCGGTTTGGTCGTCAACATACGTGAGAGTCTAGGGCATAGTCATCTTCAGGTCAACGTGGGAGCCGCGCCTAGGTGCATAGCAGGAGTGTATGCCTTGTCCGTACCTCTCGTCTCTGTACCTGCCTGTACCTTAATTCATGAGTTTATGTACGTCCTTCGTTGCCATGATGAAAGATGCGGTGAGTGTAGATCGTAGAGCACGTCAGGTGGGCTTGCTTTGACATGCATAACGGCAAAGGACACAACCATCTTCGGTACGGAAGCTGCGCTTCCTTTTCGCACCTTGGTATGAGGTGATGATCTCGTGTCGCCAGTTGCCACACTGAACGGAGAAAGAAAGACCAAAGGGAATGCCTTTCCTTCTTCAACATAGAGGTTACCTGAGGTGCCTTACCTAATAATCATGGAATCGCGGTTTTTTTGTATCATCTATGGTGTGAGTTGGCAGGTAAGGTATTCGGTTCGTACCTTCCCGAGTCTGTTGGCCAGAAGTTGGAATGGGAAGCAACAGCTTTTCAGCCTGGAAGTAACAGCCCTGCCACCGGTCATTCCCGCTTCCACTGCCGCTTCCTTCTCGTTCTTCCCGGTTTAGAGTACGGAGTACAGTTCCTGCAGCAATAAGAATCGCCCAGAATAGCCCAGCCATCAACCTACTTTAAGCACCTAAGGCATTCCCGGGCGGGATGGGAGGAACTTTAACAGATAGGCACGCAGGAAGCGCAACAGCCTCTTCCCTCAGGCTCCAGGCTTCAGGTGTCGCTCATCACTGCCCATCTAAGCAAGAGCCGTTCTAGCGGCATCCTCGACTCAGCTTTCTTCTGAGCTGTCCTGAACCTGACGGAGCTCTTCCCATGCCCGGGCTTTACTAAGGCACCCACGCACTGAGCACTATGCTAGGTAGCTAGAGGGGAGGGAATAGTGCATACGAGGTATCCGCACGCTGCCCCGGACTGAAGTGCGTTTCTCGTCATTCCATTCCATTTCCTCATTAGCGGATGGCCAGGAGACCTAACTTTAGTAACATTGTCGCTGCACTAACACGGGCGAAGACCCAGGCCAGAACACGCTGCGCCAGAAATCTGGACCATTCATCGAGAGATCAACGCCTGGCGCAACACCACACAACTCTGTTCTTCTCTTCCTCTCCAACATCTCTTCCCTGCTGTTTCTCGGCCTACCTTACCAAGACGGCCGGGCGCTGTTATGCACAAACAGCTATCCGCATCGTTGCTGTGCAAAATGTTGTTGTGCGACGACTGTCCATGTCCACGATGGAGATTATCTTACTGCTAAAGGCCCACCGTCCAGTACCTTTCCACCTACCCTGCCTAACCGTTTACACTAACGGACGCCAGCTCTAGATTTACGGAGCTGCTACGGAGCATCCTCCATCAACTAGACATGGCGATGTGTCGTCTTGATCGTCGGTCCCGTCCACTCGCGAATCACTCGTCAACGGGAGAACCCCCAATGGAACGCACCCTTGGGTCTTTGACGGTTCGACCTGGATGCTGGAAGGGCTTGAGCAGCAACTTCCCAGCAAGCAGCCCCATCAACAACAAAGGAACGGACGCCAAAATAAACCAATTGGCAATCCCCCCCCCCCCCAAGAAACGGAGCCACATGCCACGGAGCGACGGTCCAGAACAACATAAACAATCAAAGCAGAAACCAATAGGTCGCACATGACGAATCGACGATGGCCTCACGGACGACAGCATCCCCTCTCATATCCGCTCCAAGCCTGTCAGCATCATTTATTTCCCTCCCAATTTTCTCTCGAATCCCACATGGCACATGTCCCGCCTGCCGCCTGCCCTCCTTTTTCCTCCACTCCGAGGGGGCTCTAATTATTTCGCTTCCCGCTCTCTGCAGCGTGATGCCCCTGGATTGGGAAGTCATCCCCGCGTTTCATTGGCTCATCCCATGACCCAACAGAGTACGAAGCATCGTCGGAAAACCTTCTTTTGAACTTTTGAATTGCTTTCTCGTCTACTTTGGTACTCGATATTGGTACCTATCCGTACGGAGTACCTCCCAGCAGGTAAGACATGTGCCATTTGGGGACCGCGCTCATTACGACCTTCTTCCTATGGATACATACAACCTTATTAGTGCGACGTTGCAACATGCAGTGCCGCTGCAATTGCCAATAGCCTTCCTATGGTCTATGGGGCATGGTCCGGGACCCTTCTTTTTTGTTTCCCCGGCAAGAATCAAGAAGGAAGACTGCCCAAGACGGTACGGAGTCACGGAGGATTACACCTCGAAAATTTCTCTGCCAACATATGACCTACATGGACTGCCAATTCAAGGACGGAAAATTTACAAAACTCAACCTTCTTTCGGCTGGGGAAATTACACGGCGGCTCACTCCCACGTCGATCCTGGAGGCCGCGTCAACAAACACCCAAAAGCAGCCGTGACGATGCACCAATTACCGAGCACACTTCAGTTGACGGCGACCTCTGCAAAAGATGCGAAGAATACGCAGATGCGCGGTCCCATCATTGCCAGCCGCGGTCTCTACCTGAGTAATCGGGGTTTCGGCTGTATCCATGCTCGTCATTCACAAGTCAATGTCACTGACAACTTTCAACAACCATCAGACTTACGGTACTATACCGTGTATGTATAACAACCTGTCAGGTCGTTTCAGCCTGCGGCCATCATCCCTTCTGTCGGTGCCTCTGTCGTTCGTTCATTCGTTGCACTTGGGGTGCCCTCAGATGAACCCATTTTAACGGTTTATGTGGACGCGACCAATGATAGAACGTGAAGACTCCCCCAACTTGCAGCTTCCGCCATGTGAGTAAAAAAAATCATTCCTTTTCTGAAAGGTCAATTTTCTCCTCCTTTTCCTACACAAGAGTGTGGCACGAATGCATAGGGAGACACAGCTCCTACGGCGCATTCGCTACGGACTCGGATGTTCTGCCCATTGACATTCTCTGACAAAAAGAACTCCTCCTCTTCCTCCTCCCCCATTTTTTTTTTCCTTCTTCTCCGTCCTCCTCCACAATCCCCTGCATGCAAAGTGCAAAAGATTCAGGAACGACGTTACTCTCCCGATGGGCTTCTAGCTTCTGTGAGACAAGTGGCTTGTTTCGCTCCCGACTCAGAAGCACGAATGGGGCCACCCACAGAGCACCACATTTATTGGACACTCTTTTTTTCCAATACGAGGGTTGACTGCTCGCGTGGCTCGTGTACCGCATCGAACACGGCCGCGATGCGGCGGGTGGTGTTGGAGTGGCGAACTAAAGTTCTAGCGATGGACGTCGTTAATCCTTAGGGGAGGTCTAGAACTTCACTGCAATTCCGTCCAACATTGTTCAGACTTCAGCGTATCTCGTCTCAGCGTACTCCGTATCTCGTCCCATCTTTTTTTTTTCGCTTGCCAACTCCCACCATTCCGGCCAAGGTTACCAAGCCACATGATTTTGAAAGGATGGGCCCCCGGTTACAGCTGCCGATTCATCCCACCGAATCGCACCCCATATCACAGTACACAAAGCAAGTCTCTCTTCCTTGGCGGCATGAAGTTCTCTCGTCTGGTCACGACTCACTGTGGCGCGCATAGTGATAACTGCCACAGAAACATGATATCACCCCCCCCCCCCCTTCTCCCTTCACCTTGAGTGCAGCCATGTACGTGGCGGCGGGCGGCGGCGAATGAGAACTTGGGAAGTCGAAGATACTCGCTATCCAATGTCTGATGTAAAACCCTCCTCGCTAGGCCCCGGCATATACCTCTGCCAGGGCCAGGAAGACCGGGTGCGATGCATGAGATATCTTGAGTAAAGTACTTACTCTCTGCAGACAAAACTCAGTCCCATCACGGCCAAATCCTGTCCGCCGCGGAGTGCTGCTCCACCCAGCATTCTACACCCGTACGAATGTGCAGTCAACTTGTCCTATCAGTAGAAACCTGTTTCTGTAGGCATTTTGAAACCCAGCTTCTCCAGTCGCCTTACAGGGCATCTTTCTTTGCCATTTAGAGTTGCTTGTCGGTATCGGATACACCACCCCCCCCCCCTAAGAAAAAACATTGTCCCGGTATCTATTTTTTTTATTTCTTTTGGTATATATCTCTTATCTCATCTTGCAAAGATTATCAAAGCCACACGCCGTTTAAGACGGATGGACAGCAATGAATTGAAACCGTTTGCAAAAGTGATCTTGTTTGTTCTACAGCTAAAGGTCGTGGCAAAGATGTGCTATAATTGTCCTACCTATCCTTCACGTCGCATTTTCCATGAGCCGCAGCAAACCATTGTTGGCCAGGTGGCCGGTCTCGTCAACTTTCGCCTTCCCCCCACCAGCTTGCGTCAACGGCACACCGGAAAGTAAACAAAGTTTCCCTCTCAGCTGAACAAGATGCTCAGCTCGTTTTCGAGTGTAGAGTGTGGTATATTTAGACTTGGCCGCGTTGGTTTTTTTTTGTTCCTCGTGATCTGCCTCGTCCGCACTCTAGGAGAAGAAAAACTTGGTTGCTAGAAAACACAAAAAAGACCTTTCGGCCCCGCCACTGCTGCGAATCGAGGCGCAGCTCTCAAAAAATACGCCACCCATCATTCAACGCCACCTTCCGGCCTCCCCACACGCCCGTGTTTTTTCAGGCCCTACCGAGGCTCAGATGCTAAATAATCGGTAGAAAGTCGTTTTGTGATGATTTGGGTGAGTAAAGTAGAGTGGTTAAGGTGGTTGTTGGAGGGGCAATTATCTGGCAAAGACCCCATTGAGCCCCTCATCTGGTCCCTCCAAGGGTAGCTTTCCTCCCAGAATAGCTTCGTATGAGCCTCTTTGCTCACGAAGCAACCATCCGCAAGGTTCCGTTTCGTTACCATGAGCCAGGTCGGATGTTCGGAGTTAGTATAGAAGCTGTGGACGTGGGGGGACCCCACATCTTCTCAATCTCAAGTCTTTACCATCGATCAGAGTGACGTGTCTGCCCAAAAATAGTAGTCCTGGGTTGCTCCAAGCGATGTCAAGCTCGTAAGCTGAACACCACAGCTCGCACATGCACCAGGGCAAGTATACCATGCTCATCGCCTTTGTCCACCAAAGCTTGCGCGGAGCGCCAGGATCTGTTGTCTTTCTGCCTCGGGGAGCATGTTGATCGTCTCCATCGGCAGTTCCATAACCTGCCGCATGAGAGCGTCGGGGTCTTGACCCAGAGGTGCAGCAACCGGCGGGGGTGCGCCATAGGGAGCTTGCTGCGGGGGAGGCGCGTACGGCGTGCCGGCGACAGGCGGGGTGTTGTTAGCTCCCATCACGGGGACCGGCGGGAAGCCGGGGGTGGGCTGTGGCGGGTAACCGATCGGCGCGGCCTGCGGTGGGGGCGCCGGGGGCGCGCCGCCAGGCTCGATGACGGAGTGGATCGCCTCGGGAGACACCAGACCCATGAGCAGGAGAGCCTGGAAGACGGCGTATGCCAGTTGCGGTGCCTGCTGGAGAAGTTCCGTCGCCCTGGCGGGGTCGGTAGAGGCCAGCGCCTTCATCTGTGTGAGGATATCGAGGAGTTGAGACGGGGGAAGGGTGTTGAGAGTCCGTGAGATGGCGTCGGTTGCTGTGACGTTCGGGGGCAGCTCCTTGCCGGCTGGGAGAGGAGGCAGCGTACTCGACTGCATCGGCGGCGCGACAGGGTTGTATCCGTTCGAGGCGTGGGAGGGGTTGACGCCATCTCGGCCCTGTTTCCACTGTCAGATTCCAACTTCAAATGCCGGGCTGTACCTCTATACGTACGTGTCCGTGGCTATCATTGTTGTCGTCACTGCCGCCCTCGTTGGAAAAGTCGACCCTAAGTTTCCTTCCCATAATCTCATAGTCGTTCAGGTTGCGGACAGCCGATGCTGCGGAGTCTGCGCCGCATAGTCAGTCAAGTCTAGATTCTAAGAGCAGTAGGGTTCTCCTGAGAAATACCATTGTCTGGATATTCTGCAAAGCCGAAACCCTTGGGCCGTCCGGTCTCGCGGTCGTAGACTAGGCGGAAGTTGAGGACCTTGCCGGCGCTGCTGAAGATGTCGCTGATCTGCTCCTCGGAAAGGCCTAGGACAATTGGTTAGATACATAGAGTCTTGTGGGAAATTCGTTCCTACCATAGGGGATATTGCCCACGAAGACAACTCTGGAAGGCGGCTTCGACATCACGGTATGAAGGTTCGATGGTCGGCACACAAGACTCGCTCAGTACGCGCTCGCCAAGGCGGTCAAAGGGACGTTGGGTATCGCGTTCGTTGAAAAATTCGCAGCGTTCTCTTCTTTCGGTATCGAATCCTCGATTTAAAGTGTCGTGGGTATCAATTTGATTCAGTCGAAGGGCGGCGCAACGGTGATGATTTCTTGGAGGTTGCCTTTTGGATCAGAAAGCACTGCATTCTCCAGCCTTGACTACCAGGCTGGGATTTTACAGTGGGGACGGGAACCGCGCAGCTTAAGCACGAGCCATCTGATTCTGGATTGCTTCTAGTGGTCTAACGGCATCTTCCATTGGCCAACGGCCGACAATTACCCAGGGACCCGGACCCGCCCGCCCCGTGCGAGACCCCTGACAAGATGCACCTTTAGCGCAATTGAGAGCTGGACCGTGGACGGGCTGCGTGGCCAGAAAACGAGTGAAGGTGGCCTCTACTTTACTTTGGATTTGCGCAACTCTCAAGGCTTTGTGAGATCCAATCCTCCTACCTTGCTTGCAACTCGACTTTCTCGCGTCGACCTTCTCTTCTCATGGTTCAGGCGGGGTCTCTCACTTCCTGATATCACCTTTTACCTCTCCGCCACTCCTTTTAGCGTTATTCTGCTTGGCGCATTGTTGCGAAAGTACGACTTTTGGCCTACTCCCGTTGATTCTTCTCACAACGCTTACGAGGCTACCCCAAACTCGCGATAGAGATCGACAGCTCTTGATAACACACTCCTCCCTCCGAACTCACCATGCCGGCAAAATCGAGATTCACAAGGCTCGACGCCTTCACAAAGACAGTCGACGAAGCACGCATCCGCACGACGTCTGGTGGAATTGTCACTATCGTGTCGCTGATCGTGGTCTTCTGGCTGGCCTGGGGAGAATGGGTTGACTACCGGAGGATAGAGATCCACCCCGAGTTGATCGTGGACAAGGGAAGAGGTATGAAGCCCTGGCAGTCTCTCCTAATCTGTACGGGCAGTAGGAGCTAATGTGTACCCGGTAACAGGCGAGCGCATGGAGATCCATCTCAACATGACTTTCCCCAAGATGCCCTGCGAGCTCCTCACCCTGGACGTCATGGATGTTTCTGGCGAGCAACAGCACGGCGTTCAGCACGGTATTAACAAGGTTCGCCTTCGTCCCCAGAAGGAGGGCGGTGGTGTCATTGACATCAAGGCCCTGGATCTGTAAGTTACTGCAAATGTCGCCTCCTGCCGAGGAGCTTTTTCTAACACCTTCCGCCAGTCACTCTCGTGATGAGGCTGCTGAGCACCTGGACCCCAACTACTGCGGCCCCTGTTATGGCGCCCCGTCACCGGCGAACGCGCAAAAGGCCGGATGCTGCAACACATGCGAGGAAGTCAGAGAGGCGTACGCGCAGGCTTCGTGGGCTTTCGGTAAGGGCGAGAACGTCGAGCAGTGCACGCGCGAGCACTACGCCGAGCGATTGGAGGAGCAGCGCCAGGAGGGCTGCCGTATCGAGGGTAACCTGCGCGTCAACAAGGTCGTCGGAAACTTCCACCTTGCCCCTGGCCGCAGTTTCAGCAACGGAAACATGCACGTCCACGACCTCAAGAACTACTGGGACACCCCCTCCGATGCCCAGCACGACTTCACTCACACTGTTCACTCCCTGCGCTTCGGCCCCCAGCTGCCTGACACCGTTACCAAGAAGATGGGCAAGCGCGCCGCTGCGTGGACGAACCACCACGGTAACCCTCTCGACAACACCCACCAGGAGACCAACGACCCCAACTACAATTTCATGTACTTTGTCAAGATCGTGCCTACCTCCTACCTCGCTCTCAACTGGCAGAAGGGATCCAACCCCGAGGAGGAGAACTCTGGCCTCGGTCTTCTTGGCCAGGGAAGTGACGGCAGCGTCGAGACTCACCAATACTCCGTCACGAGCCACAAGCGCAGCTTGGCTGGCGGCGATGACTCTGCCGAAGGACACCAGGAACGCCTCCACTCTCGTGGCGGCATCCCGGGAGTCTTCTTTTCCTACGTAAGTTCCTCCATACCCGCGTCCTCGACTTCCTTCACTCACACGAACGTGTCCAGGATATTTCTCCTATGAAGGTCATCAACCGCGAAGAGCGCGCCAAAACATTCACTGGTTTCTTGACCGGCCTTTGTGCCATCATTGGCGGCACTCTCACCGTCGCCGCTGCTGTTGACCGCGGTGTCTTTGAGGGTGGACTGCGTCTCAAGAAGATGCGCTCCAAGGATATGTAGATTAAAGAGATGGAAGACCTGGTATTGTAAGTAGTCAATATGTGGTGGAATATTTCCGTACGCTGTGCATCAAAAGTGGAGTTTGGGTGGCTTGGTAAAGAAGGCTTCATCGTTTCAATCAATACATAAATATCAAATGTGCCATTGGAGTTTATGCGTCCACCAGTCTTCCTTCACTCGCCATGCCTATCTGTAAATATATCTTGTACCGATCACTGTAGCCTTTTTGATATACGAATATGTTCTCGGACAATTCTGAGCCATTTCGAGCAACGATGTCAGCTTGTACTAAGATTTGTATGTTCAAAACGATGTGTGTACGTGACTTTGGGCCTTTGCAAGACTACTCCATGGAGAATTGAAATTCATCATTTGCCCATCAAACATGACCTCAACTGGCAAAATGAGTCTTGCGATATGGGAATGTTGCATGTTCTGTGAGATTCGAGTATCTTCCAAATACGTATGCACCCCCGTTCTGCTTTCTCCTGGTTCAGACCATGGGCTGTGTGATAAGCCATCCATGCGTTCCCGATCTCCGAAATTATATAGGCCGCATATCATCGTGACTTCTAGGGCCCATACCCAGTTTTGCGCCAAAGGCAAGGACAAGAAGGCGCTTCACAAGAAACGCTGAGAGAGAGATATGGCAGCTTGCAAGAATGACTAAGTAGAAAAGGGGGCTTAAAAGAGCATCAAACAGTACCAGGAAGAAAGATAAAAGAAGGCGCCTGTGGAATTCGAACCCACAAGCTACAGCCCGGTAAATCTGCTCTCAGCATTGGGTTACGAATTTCTTCGTCTTCTGGGCAACTTTCCCTTTCTTGCTGTTATTGAGATTTTCCGAGGTGAATCAGCATATAGCGCACCCCACACTCTTGTATTCCCGCGTATTAGAAGAGAGGGGGAGAGAAGAAGAAGAAGAAGAAGAAGAAGAAGAAAAAAAAGGCTAGAGAAGTCAAAAGAGTTCACCCCCCCGGTGGCGAACGGGGGCTACATCTCTGGTGCTCATGCTGGGACTCGAACCTGGAACCTAGTGTAGGCTAAGCCAGTCGACGAGGCTCGCCCGTAACCATCCCGCCAAACGGCAGTTTGACCTGACCTCACAGGCCTGTGAGGCGCCTGCTGCCGTTGGTGACGGAATTAGAATCGACGGGACCTATATGGGCTTCCCGATGTAGTGATTCGTTCTCGTGTGTTCATGGTTCCGTGGAGTTGACGGCAGGAGGCAGTAGGCACCCACGTGATATACCGAAATTGTTTGCTACAGGTCTACTGCCGCCCGTTAAGTCGAGAGGAGGATACCTTTTGAGTATGATGGTTCATCCACTACGCATTGTTCCTATCTAGATATGAAAACGGGAAGCAGACCCTATGGTTTTGAACGTGGAATAGCTTAAAAGCCTACCGCCCATCATGGTAACGTTGGCCATCAAGATTATGCTACGATACATTTCCAGAATACTGTATGCTTTCTATCAAACGGGCTAGGCACGGAACGTACAATCTTTCGCTTTAGAAGTACAAGGTGTAAATTTATGCTGCTTTTGTCACCGCCAACATCATGACGTTCTTGAACTTCTTCATTCTCCGTATAAAACTCCAATCGTATGCTCCAGATAATCAAAGATACAGATCATTTTACGGACAGTTAAAGCAGTAAAGACAGTTGTAGCAGAAAGGGGGATGAACGAGGCTATGTTCTCATAGCGCAAGACAATCGGTAGGTTAGACCATGACACGCCGTCTTTCAGGTTCTCCTTCACCCAGATACCGCCTCCATGGCTAGTCAATCGACAGTCGTCTTAGGGCTATAATCCTTTCTCGAATTATCATCTTGATTTAGGCATAGTGACTCCGTGGCGCGCTTTTGGAGTGGTATTTCGTATTTCATGATGTATGCAAGTTGGTAAAACAAGTACTACACGAGCCTACACACAAGTGACCGCTGTCGAGTAGGCTTGTAATACAGGCCTCAATATGCCATGTACGGCTCTTGCAGCTCATATTACGCTACTCCCCAAGTCCCTCATAATTTCTTTATCGCCTCAAGTTCGTTCAGCTTCATTGCAACACGAAAGTCATCACACACTATTTCGCGATTGAGTCCACCGCACGAAAGACACAACGAATTGCTACGTTTGAGATGCTTAATGGACACGAGTGCGCAAAGATAGCTGCAGCGTCATGAATCATTCTTTTAATACCCGAGCCACGTACTTGTTTATACCACACAAGAAGCTTTGACGAACATGTCCTCATTAACAAAACCACACGTGTCCAACACCTCAACTCCACGACTTGATCCGGTAGCTCTAATTTGTGTGTCAAAACAAGGAAACAGAGAAGGCGATCGCACTATCCTACACTGGTTTCAAAAATAATAAGAGGCTACGAAGGAGACATCGCAGCACCTTTTGTGACGAGAAACTCATCCAAGGCCGTAGCTTGTGCCGGTGTGTATCCGTTCCCATTATTTGAAGCAGGTACGGGAGTTTCTGTCACCAAGCAGACCGTATTCTATGAAGTACAATTAGCCACTTGCCCACTTGGAAGGTGATGGATCATATCTTGCCGGGAAAGCAACAGAGCGTGCGTCAACTTACCATTCCTAGAACTGCGGCATCCAGCCGATCAAACATCCTCCACAAACGATCGTTATTCTTCGTAAAGACGTAGCCAGCCAAGCCGACAGGGGTGTCGTTCGCCCTCATCACAACCT